AATCTTTAATTAAAGTATTTAGGTATTTTATTAGAAATCTTTAATTAAAGTATTTAGGTATTTTATTAGAAATCTTTAATTAAAGTATTTAGGTATTTTATTAGAAATCTTTAATTAAAGTATTTAGGTATTTTATTATAAATCTTTAATTAAAGTATTTAGGTATTTTATTATAAATACTTATTTACAGAAGCTTTCCAGCCAAAGCTAACTCTTCTAGTAGGGTCTCCCGGTAGGACAGCAGTAAATTTAGGGAATTACAACGCTCAAGTCCAAGGTTCGATCTTCCACGGTCGACACAGCAGATAATTTGGCTTTGCCGTGTAACAAACAAACATCCAGTGAATAACGTCATCGAAACAGCTATTGTTCAAACAATTTAAAGGTATAAACAGCGCTCGCCCGCTGCTGTGTTTGTTGTATCGAAGTCGGCCTGATGAGCCCCGGTACTTAGCGAAATGCCTCGTTGACATGTTTCGTTTGTTTATTGTTAAGCACAAAGCTATACAATTGGCTTTCTGTGCTCTGCTTAACCTGATTTTTAGCGTCATAAGCCGGAAGACTTATCACAGAACCACTGGATATCGTAGAGATAGTGTGACTGACGTATTATTAAGTTCTTAAACATTGCGAACATTAATTAATTCCTGAAGGATGGTAAATTTTTATTTAGAATATTACTTACAAGAAAGTAAAGATAGTTATTCCTCATTGGTTTTATTTTACTTGAATAAAATAAATCGATCAAAATTAGCTTTTTAAACAGTATGCTGTTATCTACGGTTAACTAATAAAACCCCGCACAGAACCTGATGGGCAAGTGAACTGGCCTTGGAAGAGTTACCTTTTGAAGCGCCCTCTATGTTTTTGTTTTAGGTAATGGTTGTTTTGTTATTAGAGGAAGTTTCCAGTTACCAATCTTACCTACATGTTGTCACAATTTATAACATTAATTCTTCAGACAAGCGAGAAAATATTGGCTACTTGTGGTCGTTATTAGCTATTATATATATATATATATATATCAGAAGTAACCCGACCCGATTGTTATAAATAGTAAACCTTCTCCATTAACTTCGATCTGTTTCTTCAACTTAAATTTGAAACAACCCCGAGTATGTTTATTGTTTTATTTTACGGAGGATCAATCCTCGATCTTTGAAGGTTATTGCTGAGCCGCCAGGATAAAACCCGAGTTCGAGTGACCCCGTATGAACTGACTTCTTACGGTCATCTTGAAGAATTTTATGGAGGATCAATCCTCGATCTCTGAAGGTTATTGCTGAGCCGCCAGGATAAAACCCGAGTTCGAGTGACCCCGTATGAACTGACTTCTTACGGTCATCTTGAAGAATTTTATGTGATGCTAAAAAATCATAGCGGATGTGTGAAGAAGCTTATGATTCAAATATACCACACTTCCACCCCAGTGGCTTACGTTTCCCCACGGACGACACTGTTAACGCAATATCGCAAGATTTAAGACTTTACATTTTTGGCTCGTGCGGGATGTTAGATTTGCTTCATATTTTTAGCTCAATAAATTTGAGCAAAACAAATTACCATATAGTTGCAGTGTAGTATAAACAAAATTTGATTTATAAAACGCGACTCTCGACTATTGATTGTAAAAAATCTTAAGTTAAATTCAACAAAATATAACAACTCTTGGAGTGAACGGATTAACATGCATATAAACATTGTTGAGTGAGCAGTTTAACATGCATATCAACATTGTTGAGTGAGCAGATTAACATGCATATACACAGTGTTGAGTGAGCAGATTAACATGCATATAAACATTGTTGAGTGAGCAGATTAACATGCATATACACATTGTTGAGTGAGTGGATTAACATGTATGTAAATATTCATGAGTGATCGCATTAACATATAAACATTGTTGAGTGAGCAGATTAACATGCATATCAACATTGTTGAGTGAGCAGATTAACATGCATATAAACATTGTTGAGTGAGTGGACTAACGTGCATATAAACATGGTTGTGTGAGCTGATTAACATGCATACAAACATTGTTGAGTGAGCGGATTAACATTTATGTAAATATTCATGAGTGATCGGATTAACATGCATATAAACATTGTTGAGTGAGCTGATTAACATGCATACAAACATTGTTGAGTGAGCGGATTAACATGTATGTAAATATTCATGAGTGATCGGATTAACATGCATATACACATTGTTGAGTGAGCGGATTAACATACTTATAAACATTGTTGAGTGAGCAGATTAACATGCATATCAACATTGTTGAGTGAGCAGATTAACATGCATATAAACATTGTTGAGTGAGCGGATTAACATGTATATGAATATTCATGAGTGATCGGATTAACATACTTATAAACATTATTGAGTGAGCTGATTAACATACTTATAAACATTGTTGAGTGAGCAGATTAAAATGCATATAAATATTGTTGAGTGAGCAGATTAACATGCATATAAACATTGTTGAGTAAGCAGATCAACATGCATATAAACATTGTTGAGTAAGCAGATCAACATGCATATAAACATTGTTGAGTGAGCAGATTAACATGCATATAAACATTGTTGAGTGAGCAGATTAACATGCATATAAACATTGTTGAGTGAGCAGATTAACATGCATACAAACATTGTTGAGTGATCGCATTAACATATAAACATTGTTGAGTGAGCAGATTAATACACGCATATATACATTGTTAGTTAATTACGAACACAAAACTTGCTTAATTTACAGACAATGTTTGTTTTTGAAAGTCAAGTTTAAATCCACTGTTCTAACAATACCAAATACACATGGATACAAGTTTGGACACTTTCACGGATCCACTTTTGGCTTTGTTACGTTATAGTGAATTTAAAGTTTATTTTAAAATATCTTACACACTATTGTGTATTAACTTATTAATTGTTGGACACTTTTCAAGCATCACAAAGTAGTTTTTTTTATGGAATGGTAGTAAGTAAAAACTATTCGTGTTTTTTAAATTGATCTTCGTAATATATCAGTAAAATATCTACTACAACACGACAAGGAAGACTGTGATATAGCTGTCAGAGACTTGATGATAAACTTGAAGACTGTGATATAGTTGTTTGTATATGAACGTTAAATGTCTAGAACTAATTGTACATAATGTTTGTATATGAACGTTAAATGTCTAGAACTAATTGTACATAATGTTTGTATATGAACGTTAAATATCTAGAACTAATTGTACATAATGTTTGTATATGAACGTTAAATGTCTAGAACTAATTGTACATAATGTTTGTATATGAACGTTGAATGTCTAGAACTAATTATACATAATGTTTGTATATGAACGTTAAATGTCTAGAACTAATTATACATAATGTTTGTATATGAACGTTAAATGTCTAGAACTAATTGTACATAATGTTTGTATATGAACGTTAAATGTCTAGAACTAATT